CTGCCTTCACCCTGAGTCAGCTGGGATAGACTCCAGCCCCCCACGACTCTAGAGAGGATTAAACGGTGTATAGATGATGGATGGATGGATAGTTAAATCTGTAAAATTATTGTACATTTTTCCAAATATTATAGTGAAAAGCTGCTAAAAACAAAACAAAATGTCGGATCATAAACTCCCCTTTGAAGCCGTTTCATGCTTTATTCATTCATTTTTCAACACACTATGAACAACACAAACAGCAGCAACCACAATAAACTCTGACTTGTTGTATGAACAGTCTCTCCGTCTAGTCTCCTTCTTGTAACTCCTTCATTTTACAGAAAATACATTTTTGGATATTTTTTTTTTCACAGCGTAGAGACACATGAATGGAAATACAATAAGATCGAAAAAAAGAATCATCTTTTAACATGAAATCATCTTCAATCAAAAAACAAATAACATCCATCAAATATCTATACATCACTTAATCTTCACGTGAGTCACGGGGGAAAACAAAAAACAAACAACCCTTATTTGTCTTTTTTCAATCAAAATCTTTCTTTCAGTTTACAGCAAACAATTCTGTGTGTTGCTGATGTAAAGGTAGCAAAACAAAACAAAAAACGTGTAATTTAACAGTTGAAATTTGTAAAACTTAAATACATTTTTGCATAAAACAAAAGCAGATTCTACATTTGTGGCTTCCCCCCCTTTTTTGTAAATACAGTTTTTCTGTCGTTTTACTATACATATATATCTTATCAGTACCGTGAAACTGTAAAATAAAAGAATATGTTCCAGTTTAAAAATTAGTAAACAAACTAAAGTGTGTTTTGCAGTGTAGAGACCAAACCACATTAATAGAAATACAGTGAGATGAAAATAAAAACACAATCATCTGCTGACATAGAATCATGTTTTTCCACATTTTTTACCTTGTTGTGTTTTTTTTAGATTCCATGTAAATAATTACTGACTTTACAAAAATTACAGTTAAACAAATGATTTACTATTTTTCAATCCTACATATAAATTGCACCATATACAAGTTCTTTTTTCCAAAAGAAGCAAATGTCTATAAAAATAAAATTGAAAATGCGTATGTAATTTAACAAAACGGGAAAAATCGATAAAATGTTCCAATATAAAGATTTTTACAACAAACATATCAATAGAAATACAATAAAATGAAAAAAACAAAACCATCTTTTCACATAAAATCATCTTATTTTACGGGATTTTACGTAAATTATTACTTTTTCCTGTGATTTTACTAAAAATTGTTAAACAATCGATCATTAATGTACAGAAGTATTCTTTCAAATAACATCGAATATCAGCAAAACAATTCTTTTTTTTTTTCCAATACAGTCAAAACCTTATAAAAGAACAAATTACTTTAATGTGAACATTATTTACAGTTTGGGACTTTTTTCTTCTTTTTTGCAGTTAACATATAAACTAAACCTTTTTTCTGTGCTCTTAGCAGATGTTATCAGTAGTACAAATCTGGTAAATAATGGTCAAATGTTTTAAAAAAGAAAAAATCGACAGTAAAATCAAGCCGTGGGTTTTACAGTGTACAATGAGATTGAATCAGCTGGAAACTCCAACATTTTAACCAGCTGCTCTGTAAAGACTTCAGTCTATTCAGGTTTAATGAACTCTAACGTGTCTCCATAATAATTGTAAAGCCCAGCTCCAGCGTGTAGCGGCTGAGTGAACGAGGTGTGGACTCTGTGGAGGAGAGTCATGGTGTCAGAGACGCTGTAGAAGGACAGAACACCTGCTCTGTGATCCAGGTACACTCCTACTCTGGAGGAAGGATGACCTGAGACGGGAGTTTTGGTGTTGTTGTGCAGAAATACATACCTGTTGGTGTCACAAAACAAAGACCAGGATTTGTCGTTGAATCCAAATCCACACTCGTATGTTTCCCCTGTTCTGCTGATGTTCTCGTATGAGACTGCTACGTCCACTCCTCCTTCTCCTCTCCACTCCACCTCCCAGTAACAGCGTCTGGTCAGACTCTCTTTACTCAGAACCTGAATCCAGTCAGTGAATCTGTCTGGATGATCAGGATGAGGCTGTGGTTCATCCATGACTTCTACTTTTCGGTTCCCATCAGACAGTAACAGCTGTCTGTGTGCTGTGTTTGGATCCAGAGTGACTTCTCGTGAATATTTTAAGAACCCATCTCTGGTCGTTGGTTCTGACAGTAGAACATCCACGTCAGTGATGGCCAGTGAGATGTTTGTCCATGTGTCCCTCAGAACATCCTGGAGCAGATCTCTGAGCTCTTCCACAGCTGCTGTCACGTCCTCAAAGTGTCTCCGAGGACGGATGCTGATGCTGGATGAGTGTGTGGACTCACTGAGTGCTGACACTGAGGGGTAGTCGTGGAGGAACTGGCTGTGATCTGGTGTCTCTGAGAGCTGCTTCAGCTCAGCGTCTTTCCTCTTCAGATCACTGATCTCCTGCTGCAGCTTCTCCTCCAGCTCTTGGACTCGACTCACTTCAGCCTCCTGCTGGGATCTGATCTGCTGCTTCACCTCAGAGCTTCTGTTCTGGATGAGACGGATCATGTTCATGAACATCTCCTCCCTGTGCTCCACTGTTTTATCAGCAGAGACATTGATGGCCTCCAGCTCCTGGTGAAGCAGCTTCACATCTTTCTCTCTGTCCTGGATCCTCTGATGGATGTTCAGTCGACTCTCCTCCAGCTTCTTCTGCTTCTGCTTCCTTTCTGCTGCAGCTGGGACTGTTTCATGGCCTTTATGTTCCTCCACAGAGCAGATATAACAGATCAGCTGCTGATCAGTGCGACAGAACATCTTCATAACCTCATCATGACTAGAGCAGATGTTCTCCTGGAGGTTCTTGGAGGGCTCCACCAGCTGGTGTTTTTTCAATGCAGCTACATCACAGTGAGGCTGAAGGTGGTTGTCACAGTAGGAGACCAGACAGACCACACAGGACTTGACAGCCTTCATCTTCTTTTCAGTGCAGACATCACAGGCCACATCTTCAGCTCCAGCATAGCAGTGATCAGCAGCAGCAGCAGCAGCAGCATCTTGGAGTCCAGTCGTCTTCAGATCCTCCACTAACTCTGCTAGCAGGATGTTTTTCTGCAGCACAGGCCTCGGTTTGAAGGTCTGCCTGCACTGAGGGCAGCTGTAGATTCCCTTACTGTGCTCTTCATCCCAGTGGTCTTTAATACAGTCCAGACAGTAGCTGTGTCCACAGGAAGTAGTCACCGGATCCTTCAGCAGATCCAGACAGATGGAACAAGAAATGTTCTCTGAAGTAAGATTAGATCCTCTCCGCGCCATTTTCTCATCTGAGCAGCGACTGAGCGAGTTTCTGCTTTCAGTAAAGTGAAACTACTGAAACCAGTCTGAGCCAGTCTGCTCTGTCATCACCACATGTTGGTTTACTCAGCGTAAAGGTCTGAAGGAGGAAACAAGTTACAGGAAGCGATCCGCTCTGACAAACTGCAGTCAGACCACAAACAAAAAAAAACATGTTGATACGTTACGTACAGCTTCTTAATAGAGTAATGTCTACGTTTTTGGTTCTTTTATACATTAATATTGTGGTGATTATGGACTTGTTTTACTGTATTGTTCTGGATTCTGTTGTTTGTGTGTTCAGCTGGCGGTGCTGTTAGTTTCAGATTGGGCGGGGCTGGTTGGAGGAGGACGCTCCCACGCTGGCACAGCTGCAGCTCATCACCCTCATCAGCACACTGGGTAAAGCTGCTGCTCACCGGGGCTCCAGGGCCACACGACTGCCAACTCCACAAGTGCATCTCCTCCACCAACCCAAAGCGTCCAGCCGTTCGGTCTTCCACTTCCACAGGCTTCACGTCGCAGAACACGAGTCGGACTTTCCCCTCCACAAGCACCCGCATGGGAAATCACCCTCCTCCCTTGGCTACAACCTACACACCCGGCCCGGATCCCTCAAATAAACCTGTTTTCCCTTTAACCTGTCTCCTTCTCCGTTTGCGTCCATAACTCACGCCCTTCGGCCGCCGGACCGCAGCAGATATTCAGGTTTTTAATACTGTAGTACAACAATATCCAGGTTTTGAAAGTCAGGACATGATCATCTAGATTGTTTATGTTTTAGGACAGTAATATCCAGGTTTTCGACAATTTAGTGCAGTAATATTGAGGTTTTAGATACTGTAGTGGATTTATAACCAAGTTGTTGATACTTTAGTACAAAAACATTCAAGTTTGGCCCTGTTTTTAGGGGTGGCATGTAAACTAATGCTTTTAAAATATTGTTTAACGAGTTAAATCAGGGGCTGCAAGGTGTGTCAGTGGTTAGCACTGGTTAGTCCCCCACGACCCCAGTGAGGATTCAGCGGTGTATAGATAATGGATGGATGGATAGGCAAATCTGTAAAATTATTGTACATTTTTCCAAATATTATAGTAAAAAACTGCTGAAAACAAAACAAAATGTCGGATCATAAACTCCCCTTTGAAGCCGTTTCATGCTTTGTTCATTCATTTTTCAACACACTATGAACAACACAAACAGCAGCAACCACAATAAACTCTGGCTTGTTGTATGAACAGTCTCTCCGTCTGAGCTGCTGAAGCTGGTAACTCCTTCAGAGGAGTCATAGGAGTCTTGGTTTCCTCCCTCACTAGTCTCCTTCTTGTAACTCCTTCAGAGGACTCATAGGAGTCTTGGTTTCCTCCCTCACTAGTCTCCTTCTTGCTCAGTCACTCAGTGTTTGAGGACGTCCTGCTCCAGTCAGAACTACTCAGGTTCCATATTCCGTCCATTTCCTATTGATGGATTTAACTGGACTCCAAGAGATATTCAGTAAGTTGGAAATGTTCTTATATGGTCCCCTGACTGATGCTTTTCAACAACCTTTTCACAGAGTATCTTGGAGTGGTCTTTGGTCTTTGTGGTGTAGTTCTATCCAGGTGACACATCGATGATCTGAGTTGATCTTTATTTCTCTACTTATGTGACTTCGAGCACCAACTGGCTGCACCCGTGTTCAGTTAGATGAGTCAATTTGAAGGGGTTTTTTTTCATTTTAGTTTTTATTTTTACTGCAAATTGACATTTCTTTGTAGAAATCTGTTTTTATTTTGACATGAAAGATTTATTTTTCTGGTAGATTCTTGTCAAAAATGCCAAATTAAGTCAACCAAGAATTAATGTTGAAAATCAATAAAAGGATAAAACTTCCAGACGGGGTGAACACTTTATAGTCGCTGTATCTGGGTTTGGTACTGCACTGCATTGTGTAATCCACATGCATGTACATCTACATGTGCACAAGACAAACAAGGCAGTGACCCAGTCATAAAAAAAGGTCAAACACTCCACAGGGGGCCTTATAAAAGCTATTTTTGACCACCGACCGCTCAGGATTTAATATATGGGCTTTATGAAACGCTGTCTGACTCATTCATTGTTTATGAAGTAAGTTTTATGAGACTCTTGCAGGAGAAGTTCTCACTGCTCACGTCTGACTCCAGCTTTAAGTTTAAGGTGTAATTATTGAAACCTGCTGCACTCGGTTTGTTTTTGTCAAAAGCAGCGTTCGGGACATAATTTAGTGTTCAGGGTTATTTATCACCTGATAATTTAGCGAGGCCTAATTCCCACTTGGCTGTGAAATTATGCTTCAAAATGTGTCCTATAGATGTAGGAGGCACATAAACCCTGGGTGTGAAGAAGCAGAAGGGAATCGTGTAAACAAAGCAGAGAAGAAATCGAGTCGCTGCTAACGAATCCAAGCTTAAACAGAATTTCAGGGCTTCATCTTTATATTATTGCAAGCTGTGATTCTTCGCAAATTACAAATGTGGTAGATTTAAATGTGCACCAATAGGAAACAAGTGATGCAGGGCAGTCAGGAGAAAAACAAGAGACTTCAGCGTATATCTGCAACACAACGCTGTGTTAATGTTACCTCTGCAAACACCTTCTGCAGCAGTAAAATAGGTAAGAGGAGTACATAGATAGACTTTATGTGTATTTTGAAGCATCACATTACAACAAAAATCATGGAAAAGGCCAAATTTAATAAAACAACTTCCTCAGTTTTACAAAAAAAGGAGATGAAAACATCTTTAAGAAGGTGGGAGGCCACCAAGACACCTAGGACTCTGAAGAAGCTTCTCAAGAAAATGAAGATACCGTTTTTCCTGAAGACTTCATTTTGTCTCGTAGACGGAGACTTAACTGTTTTAGTTTCTTTTTCTGTGAGGGTTTTTAACTGGTTTTGTTTCCATCTTCTTCTACTCTGTTTATTACAGCCATGTAGCCTGTAGCGCCACCTTCTGGTGACCGAGTTTATTAGCTCCAAACGAGCCTAATTTATATTTTCTTTTTCTTAATTCATCACAAAATTTCAAATGTGGCAGGGAGCAGAATCACATGACTTCATCCAGCCAATCAATGAAGGTCAGACTACATCACAACACAGTCACTGACCAATCAGAGTGAGCCTGAGTGATATTTTGACACATATGACATTACCTTATTTGGAAATAACTGTTTCTTTATCTTTATATGTGTGTTGTTTCTTTTTTTTACAATAATGTTTTTTATACTCTATGTGGGTAAGGAATCACATATGGTAACTGCTTTGACTTTGACTTTGATTTGCAGCCTAAATCTAAAACATTCTTAAAAAGTCAAAAAAGAAAAAAATGTCCTCTTATATAAACCAGTAACATTCTAGGGTTGAAATGTAAAAGTTTCAAGTATTTCAGTGAGTGCCCTATAAAGGGTTAAATGGAAATATGACTATCATATATATTTCTGTTGAAAAACTATTTTAAGTTTGACTTTGCTTCACGTCATGATGGTGCCACCACCGTGCTTCACATCATGATGCTGCCACCTCCATGCTTCACATCATGATGCTACCACAATGCTGAAAAACTACTTTGAGTTTGACTTTGCAGCAAGAATACTTTCTTGTTTGGGAATGTCGGAGTTGCGTCTCTGCTTTTTGCAAATAATGTTGTTCTGTTGGCTTTATAAGACCTTCAACTGAAACTTCCCTTTTTTTGTTTACTTTTTGCTTGTATTTTTAGGGTTGTCATGTAAATTCATACTTTTCCTGTAACCATTTTTCAGTCATGAATTTATATAAAACATCTGGAAAGCAATGTTCTTTTTTTTAATGATTTCAATACAGTTAAAAATATATATTTTGAGCTACACACGCCCCTCCACCGCCCCGATCTCCTCACCTTTGTTTGACACTGAATATAAACACTGAGGTGAGGAGTCATTTAATATGGGATGGTACAGACACACTAACAGGAGAGTTAGCAGCTAAAAAAAACAATACAAATTAAATAAATCAGGCAGGAAAAATCATAAAATATCTGTAAAATGCTGCTAAAACTGAGAGAAGTCTCTCCTCCGCACTGTGTCGCTTTAGAAATTCATATAAGATGAAATGATATATGTGATAAGTAGGCGTGATGCGCTTCGCTTTACACCTTTTCCTTCAACACTCTGGGTGCAATATACGTCTGCAGGTTTACATAATGTGGATGCATAAACATCCTCATTATTGTCATGATGTGTTCCAATAAATGGGAGATTCACTGTGTTGAACTAGCATCAGTTCCTCGGTTTTCAAGTATGTGGACATTCTTAAGGCAAAATCAGACTCGAATGATGTTAAATTTCAACATGAAGACAACATACGAGCCACATCAGCATTTTGTCAGAATATCTAAAAACTGGAACCTCTACTTTTATTAGAGGACTCCACTGAGAGACAGACAACCAAGCACACTCACATTCACACCTACAGACAATTTAGAATCACCAATTAACCTCAACATGTTTTGGATTGTGGGAGGAAGCCGGAGAACCTGGAGAGAACCCACGCTGCACGGAGAGAACATGGAGACTCCACTCAGAAAGATCCCAGATGTCCTCACCAGGACAGCAATTGAGGACCTTCTAGCAGAACCTGAACACCAGACGAGGTGGCCGAGTGGTTAAGGCGATGGACTGCTAATCCATTGTGCTCTGCACGCGTGGGTTCGAATCCCATCCTCATCGAATTAAAAAAATTTTAGGATGTTTGTGATGAAATCTTTATTTGATGATTGTAATTAAAAGATAATAACTGCCCAAGTAAATACCATGATGAAGGCTCTACCATTTGGTGGAAAAGCAAAGACTTAACCAAGACATAACAGCCTTCTTCTTCTCTAGTTCACATCCTCGTTTCAAAAGCTTTCAATGTTCCTACAGACAGATTTCTCAACGTTGTCTCATCAAACATCAACAAAAATGATATTATACAAACCTAAAGATTGTCAAACAGCTGCAGATGTTGTGCAGCCTGTTCCTTTCAGACAT